GTGAAGGACGATGAGAAGGAGGATGCGGAAGAGGTGAAGGACGATGAGGAGGAGGATGCGGAAGAGGTGAAGGACGATGAGGAGGAGGATGCGGAAGAGGTGAAGGACGATGAGGAGGAGGATGCGGAAGAGGTGAAGGACGATGAGAAGGAGGACACGGAAGAGGTGAAGGACGATGAGGAGGAGGATGCGGAAGAGGTGAAGGACGATGAGGAGAAGGGGGAGGTTTCAGAAAGTTCCGCTGGCGGTGGTGCGGCAGCCTCCAGTGAGGCGGAGGTCTTTGATGCCCCCGATTCCTCCAACACGCACGGGGTCAGGGGTGCCGGGGTTGCGGTGACTGAAACGACATCGTCTATCGCTTCCACGAGGAGCAGCACGACTGGTGGGTCATGGGCCGAGCAGGCGAGCGATGTCCTCGCGGAGCCAGGAGATACTCCTGTGATGGTCTCTGCGTCTGCGTCCGCTCCAGCTGGGAGTGGTGCAGTGCGGTGGGCGTTGTTTGTCGACATGGCCCCTTGGAAGTCGTACCTGCCTGCTGCTGAAACGGGCATGGAATGTGCCTCATCCGGTGAAGCCGGAGACGACGCCTATAAGGCAACTGAGGGTTTGTGGCGGATGGCGCTTTGCAAGGCGGATGGACGTGTGCTGGCCGGCGGCTCCTCTTTTTGCGGCTCGGCCTGCTGTTGTCAGGGCTGGTCTGACGTCATTGTGGTCGTCGGTGATGACATTGTGGCGACCGCCGTTGTGTCCCTGGAGCTCCAGGCGCTGTTGCCTGTCGGGGTTGGTGCGGACGCCGGTGGCAAGAGGGATATTGCATTTCCTTTGGATGGTGGTCCGCATGGGCCCAGCCACGGACGGCGGTGGGCACCAGTGGCCACTTCCGCGTTGTTACCAGTTACTAAGCTGCTGGTGTTTTCCGCAGACGCCTGTATGTGTCCGGTATTTCTGTATGCGAGGGCGGCAGATAACTCTGTTGCTGCCTCGGGTTACTTTCCCTTTCAGGCGGGTGAAGTGTTGAAGGCGCAGGCAACGCTAAACTGTTTGTCTGCCACAGTGGGCGCATCTGACACGGCGGGGTGGATGCAGGCGCAACAACGTGTTGCCGCTGAATGCCATGGGGAGATGATGCGCCTGGCGCATGGTGGCCACTCTACAGAAGAGCAGCTCGCCGCGACGCAGCGCTCAGCCGCCGTGTATTCTGTCGCACTGCATGTATGCTTTGCAGTATTGCGGCAGCTGTGCTGCCACGTAGACGCTGGTGCGGCGTATCCGCCTGTCGCGCTTACAATCAGCGGCGGATGTGAATCATTGCTTCAGCCAGTCTACGAAAACGACGAAGCAAACTGCGTTCAGCTCCGACAGCAGGCTCCTGTGATAAGATTTGACGCACGGGTACAAACTACACTGGACGAGGCACACCCGGTGTTGCTGCTGACATTGCACAGTCCAGTCGCACAGGAAGTCGTACTTGGGCGGGCTGTGCTTTCCGTGTTTGACTTGCTGCTCACATCTGCCGGACGTCTTTGGCTTCCACTCCGAAGCGACAGGGAAGTGGATTGCGAGGAAGCCGACGGCGGCGGCAGCGATGACCGGAGTTATGCAGGAGATTCCCAGCCTGTGGGGTGGATGCACTGCGGCTATGCGTGCATCCTTCTCTCTGAAGAGCGCACGGCGTCGGTTGTGTCGGTGGCAAATCACGAGTTACTTCAGCAGCCTCTGCTGCTGCCCGCACCACCCTCCGTGCCAAAGTATTTGTCCTCTCCTGCCTTTAACTATCCACTCCAGTGGAACTGTTTGCAGCTCTGCATTGTTGAGGCAGTGGATTTCTTCGGGGCGTGGGTGCATTCTGGTAGATGGAACCAAGCTAGTGGCGTGTACGCCAGAGCGAACGTGCTTCCACAGCCTCGTGCTGTGGCTTATGCAGACACTTCCACGCTGACTGCTGCATTCACAACGCCTGTCGTCGTCTCCAGCCACCCCCGCTGGGTGTGCAGCGACAACCTGGTTATTGCTGCAGACACGACACATCTTATGATTCGGCTCTTTGACGACATCGGCGACGGCGCTGGTCATCCGGATGGGGGCACGGAATGCCTGGGGTTTATCGATATCCCGCGTGTCGCCTCCTCACGCTTTTGGACCACGCCCGCAGGAGAAGCATGGCTGCCGATTGTGCCGCCGAGGCGGAGGGCATCGACGTGTTACCATGGGGCGGTTCTCTTGCGGTGGGCATTTAGTAGCCGGAACGATCCGTCTTGGACGGCGTTGCATGGCATCGGTGCCAATCTTTGCCCGAGCTGGCCTTCTTCCACGCAGCTCCAATCACATGGCATGTGTTGGGTGCAGATTGGACGTATAGAATTGATGTGGACGTGGCTGCCGCATTGCACTGCATGGAGGACGTCCGCCGTGTCGGTAGCGAAGCGAGGTCCAGGTTTGTTTTTGCGATTGAGGGCAGGTTATTTCACGCACGAATTGCCCTTGAGGCCGTCCTGCGCAGGAGACTGTTGCATCGCTGTACGTGGGACGGTATGCCTCCCGCTCACCGACCATGTTGAGGTGGACGTGTGCTGCTGCCACGACCCCAATTCCACGCCTGCTGCCTCTGTGTTGTCGTCTCTGCCCTTTTTCTCCTCGGAGGCAGCATCGAAGGCCGTTGCTGTGGTTGGAGGAGGGGAGTTGCTGCTGTCGGATGAGGCGAGGGAAAATATTGCTGCTCACCAGAGACCACATCAGGCTGTAATACGGATTGAACCCCGTGCCATGTACCCGCCTTGCACTGCTCAGATGGGCCTATTGACGGCGCAGCTACACGCCGTTCGTATTGCGCAACAGAAAGAAGTAGAAGCCCACCAGCGCCCACAATCGGCGCGGTGGACGTGGCCGCCTCCACTTCTCTCCACAGTCGTAGAGTTGCGTCTGGGGGGAGTTGTCGTGATGAATGCCCATGTACCACTCATCCTCTCAAGCCGCACGCTGTCGCCGCCGCGCTGGGTCGTTGTCGTCCGCGAGAAGGCGGGGTGGCCAGAAAAGTCAAGGGCTCACGGCGCGGCGGACACTTCGCCCGCTGAAATTATTCATCCTCCAGTGACCCTGAATGCCGCAGCCCCTGCCAACAACGACGACACTTCCACACGGGGCTGTGGTGACTCACTGTATCTTCAGTGGCCCCCACCACCATTTACTCGTGGCCTGCATCTGCGCCCTCCGCCGCCGATAGTTGAACTCCTGCTTTCACGAGAAGTTACGATGATCGAGGCTGGGAGCGCAGCGGCAACGACGGAGTTTGTTGGGTCCGTCACACTTGACTTGTCGCACTGTTTTGAGGAGGCAAGTGGGACGCAGTTGTACGCACTCCGCCGCACGCCCGCCCCGCAAGACATAACAGGGGAAGACCGCTTGATTGGTTTTGTGGAGCTGCACTTTGCTCACAATTTTGTTCAAAAAGACGTGGGCGTGGAGGCTACCGCCACAGCGGCGCCAGCGAAAACGGTGATGTGTGACGGATACTTCGTCATGACTGTGGTGAAGGCCTGTTACCGGCAACGGGAGCATCCTCTGCCTTCTTCTCAAACGCAAGACACGGGAGCGTCACGGACGTCTTTTGTCGTGGAAGTGGGCGGGACGTCGTGGCGCACAACTCCGCAAAAGGGCATGACACCGCAGTTTGACTGTCAAATGGTGTTTGAGCTTCCACGGCCGTCCAAATGTGAGGCGGGAAAAGAACCGGACGACGTGCTAAATGTACAAATTCAAATGCTTCCGGAATCGTTAATCAGCGACGATGATTCCGCCCGGACGGTGATGACGTGGCCGCCACGGTTTGCTCCTGCCTTTGCCTTTTTGCAGCTGCGGTGCGAAGATGTCATCGCTGCTGGTGGGGTCAACACCTATCGTTGGGTTCCGCTGTACACATCCGAAGATCAAGTGTGTGGTATCCGCATTTTGGCTGGCGAGGTGCTTGTGCGTTGGGGATGGTTCCCTCACTTCTCCTGCGCTGGTGTGACGCCTCTATCGGTCTGCACGGTGCTGCCTCCTGCAGTTCAGCAGGCCGACGATGTGGCAACGCTGACGTCCGCGAACGGCACGGCGGGGGTTTCCTCCCAGCCACCTCCCCCACCACCCTCGAACTTGTGGGTTCAAGTATGCGATTTTGTGGTTCTCGATGGCTCTTTTCTTGAAACTGCATCGAAAAGTGAGAGCGGTGAACTTTTCTTTGTGGTCTGCGTCGGCGAGACATCACCTTTTTTAGAAACACCATCTTCTTTCTGTTTTCCGCAGCCGCACCACGATGAGGATGACCACCAGCATCAGGAACCGCGACAGTTGGCTGCTTCTGCGGCACGGTACGGGGATTGCACTGGTGGCGCGGTATTAGATACCGATTTGGGGAGCTGTGTGTGGATGGAGTACTGTGTGCTCCCTTTGCTCCTTGTTAAGGACTTGAGCTTGCGCTTCTACGTTCGCCGTGGTAGTGGCAACGGCAGTGGCACGCATGTGGTGGGCAGCGGATGTTTAACTCATCAGGATTCAATCGGGCGTTGGAAAACTGCAGTGGCCATCTTTGCTGTCGGGGCCACGCAGCCCTGTGGTGCTCTGACGGTGGCGCTGGCGCAGTCACCTCTTTATGGGGAGTTGATGGTCGTCTCCCCCAGTCAGTCACGAGAGTGGATGTCGCAGTTCCTAAAGAGTGGGGAAGCAAACCATCCAGAGCCAGAAACGGGCGGTGAAGTGAAGGGCGCGGAATGTCCCCAACCGCCCTCAGTGATAGATGCTCCTGAATTGGCACTACTGCGCATCATTGTGCACACCGTGGAGCTCTACGGCAGGAGCTTACTGCCTTTAGATAGCAGTTGGGAATTGATGCTTCGGAGTGACATGCCATGTGCTGCGAGGGACACCTGCCAGTGGACCCGGCTGGAGGCGAAGAAGCCCTTGCGGGGCGGTCCTAGCGAGGAGTGGGTAGGTGCGGTGTGCGCGCAGAGTGGATCAACGATGGAGGTTTCTCTCGTGCGTCGCATTGTGGCGGGAAGCAGAGGGCTGCCGATAACAGGCCTGCGTGAGGTGCATGGTCGGTTTGTCGTTTGCTTCGACCCTCACTTGAGTGGGGACTCTGGGCGACACCTTGACGTGGAGTTGCAGCGTAGCGCTCCCTCTGGCCCTTTTAAAGGCATCCCTGTTCCTGTTGGACGGCTCTGTGTCTCATGCCACCCGCTCATGCGCTCCGGCGCGTTGTGTGATCCCCGCTCCGTGTTCTTCAGGCGCAGGCTTCACCTTGCGGTTTCGGAGTTGCTAGGCGTGGTGTGTGCGGGGCAGCGACGCTTTCCCCGTCCGCGGCGGTCGTTAAATAGCACAACAGAAGCCAACGATACGGAGACGACGTGGGTAGCGGGCGGGGCTCACGGTGACGACCACAAGGAGGCGTGCGTGTGCATGCGGCTGCAGTGCGGAGCAGCAGCGGCGGTGTCCTCGCGCTTTGTCCCGCCGAGGGTGGTGGCTGCGTCGAACAGGCGCAAAACGCAATTCGATGGGACACACGACTGCAGTGTGTCGCAGTTTCCCCTGCTGCTGCTGGACTGCGACCCTGAAGACGATGGGGACGCCGCCGCAGTGCGTCTCTCGCTGCACCTCTGCCCCGCGTCCCCGTTGCCGAAGCGACTGGGTGAGGCTAACGCACTGCCTGGAGGCGTGTTGATTGGGGAAGCTGTCACACTTGTGCCGTCACCAGACGAGAGTGAAGATGAGAATTGGTCATTGGCCATCACCGCCGCCGCCACCGGCAGCGGGACGACGGCGAAGGTAACAGATGGTGCCACCTCGCTCTGGGTGCCCATTCCAGCCAAGGGCGTGAAGTCAACGCAAACAGCATATGCACACCTGCAATATGCCTGGCCGTGCGAGGTGGACTTAGGGAGTTGGCTGGCGTGTATCCGAATCCGTTCGCTGGGGCGACGACCCACGCTTCACCGCCCGTTTCTTTGCTTCTTTCTGCGGTTTCCGAACGGTGTGGAGCTTCGCCTGCCGCTGGATCTCTTTGGGACGCTTCCTACCTCACAGCCATCACGTGCTGATCATTCAGCAGTGGTCGCAGCGCCGCTACCATCCATTTGGTCCTTTTCTCACATCCAACTTCCAGTTGTTTGGCCGTTGGGGGCGCAGGTTGAGGCTGTTGAGCTGCACGATCGTGTGGCGCCGGGGCTGTCAATTCACGTTGGCACGCACCCGTGGACGTCCAGCGACACCCCGCTGCTGGCACTTCTTCTTGACGACGGCGCCGCACCCGCGCCGTCGTCAGCGGCATCGCTTCTCTCTTCCTTCTTCACTGCGCGGTGGATGCGATTCACGGGCGTGGACACCGGCGCGCATGGAGGCAAGGACACGAATGCAGGTGCGCATGAGATCCTGCTGGCGCGCTCCGTTCGTCCGCCAGGGGGCGTCGGCGTGACGCGAGATCTGCGCGTGCCTTTCCGCTGGTGGCCCCTTCAGGCCTCCTTGCGTCTTACCGTCCCTGGCCACGACCTGGTGGCTCTGGGGGCGGGGCGGTTGGCGGTGAGCTGCCGTTTTTGCCTCGGCCGCTGGCAAGCGGCGTCGACAACCACCACAGCCACAGCGGACGGATGGTTGTGGGAGGGCGATGACGCTGAGGCGGCGAATGAGTTCAGGGAGGATGAGGTGTTTGCCACACACATTGAGGTGGAGCCGTCCACCGCCACTGTGACGGCGACGTGGGGTACAGCTGCTGCTACTTTCGCGGATAGTGGTAGGGTGTTTACACGTCATTTGTCTGTTGAAAGGCTACGCGAGGGGGCGGTGAGGCATGCCGTTAGTGTGAGCGTCGTTTGCTGCACACGCGGCTCCTCCGCCTCCGTTCCCGAGTCTACAGCTCCCACAGCAGCAGCAGCAGCAGCTGTGGCGATGACGGGCATGACTGCCATTTATGCATGCGAGGGCACTTTTGTTATCGATGATAGCTGCACCAGCGTCCGTGGGGAGACGCAGTTGCTGCTACGCGAGGGCGGCGAGGCCCCCGCGCGGATGTCGGCTGCGTCAAGTGAAGCAGTCAACTCACTCACCATGGCATGGGTTATTGCACACGACCAGCTGACACTGCATACCCCAGCGCGGGATGTTTCTCCTGCCACAGCGTTGTGTAATACCGCGCTAGAGTCCCTTGAGAGGTGTCGCTGGCGACTCCCTCCGGAAGACGACGCACGCCGGCAGCCTGCGATGCCGTCATGGCTGGTGACGTCGGTTGACGTGCGAAACCTGCCGGTTGTGTTGCCGTGGACGGCCAACACGACTGTGACGGCTTTTGATGGCCTTACCGCCACGGGATGTGTTCCTCCGAAGATCCCTCTGCTGGCGCATTTGGCTGTACAGAGGCGTCGCCGCCGCCCTCGCCGGAGGTCACCTGCTTTGTTAAAGGAGGAGCAGGAGGAGGGAGGACCGAAGTTCGGAGCTCGTTTTCCGCTCATTTCCGTGAATGCAACTCCCATCAGCACGCGGCAGCTTCGGCCACTTTACGCCTTGCACATGGAGCCCATGTGGTGTGTTGAGCCGCAGGACTGGGTGGACCACCGACGGCCGCTGAATCTCACGCTATGGCAGGTGCTCTCGTCTGCCGGGCGGCTCAGCTGCGCGCTGGGCACGATGCGCCTGGATGCTGTTCTTAGAGACACCTTTGCCCAACTACCCACTGGAGTTGACAGCAACTTTGCAGGGGAGGTTCGGACGGAGTGGCGGTCGCTTACTCGAAGTGAGCTTCCAGCGCAGGACGTGGGAGGCGTTCGCCTGCAGTGCCTCCCTGTTATGTATTCACCGAACGAGGAGGGAGTGAACGTTTGCCAGGTCCCCGTTTGCGTGGAGCTGCTCCAGATCACCGCCCATTCCTTTAGGGGCAGCCCTCTCTCCAAGCCTGGAGTTCGGCTGGGGTTGGCGTTTTCTCCCGCTGGTAACACCTGTTTTACGTCCTGCAGCACCACATATTTGCTGCCTGGTGGGGTGGTGACACATGCGGCAGCTGAAAAGGGGTCTGGCGGAGACCATTTGCCGGATGGCGCATCGGACGATGACAGTCCTCCTCCTGAGGAAGAGGAGGAGGTGAATCGTGAGAAGATGAGGCGCCTCCACACTAACTCCACTGACAATGATGATCACGCGGCTGCGCGTGGCGGTGACAGAGTGAGGTCGGAGGAACTGGTGGCGCTCTCGACATTCCACAGCCTCCTCCTCGAGGGGCGAGAAATGAATGCCGGGGCGGAGCAGAGGACGCAGCTTCACGTGGACGTTTTTTTAGTGGAGTGTAGAAGCAATGACGGGGATGCACAGGAAGGCGTGCCTATATCTCGCGACGACATCACTCGCGTGTTGGCCGCTGGTAGACTGGATTTGCGTCCGCTGCCACACTTGCCCACACTGAGCAGCAATACGAAGGTAACAGATCCCCAGTCGCCGCAGTCAGCATCAACGGAGGGGACCGCAGCACCGCCTTTGTACGGCGCCGTCAATTTCACGCTGATGCTTTCCTACTCGTCTTCACTCATTGTCACCGTTCGGTTGCACGCCGTTGTGCTCGCAGCAACACCACATCCGTTCTATGAGGGCGACGCTGACAGCAGTGAGGAGGATGCAGCCGCCCTGTGTGCATGCGCGCGCTTTTTTTGTGCTGCGTACGGTCATGGCGAAGACAGTAGCAGCCCTTGCACCGAGGTGGTCGCTTCCGTGGGCGGCAAGGTGTATAGAGTGGGAAGGCGGGTGTGGGAATGGGATGCATGTGAGCTGCAACGCGTTCGCTCATCATGCGCCGTTGCGTTTAGTCTTCCACGGCTGATGTGCTTTAAATGGAGAGCGGTGAAGGCGAGAGAGGGGGAAGTACCGCAGCTTCCGCCCTTTATGTGGCAGCACGATCCTTGTGTTGGACAAACCGTGTGGGTCTACGACAACCGGTACATCATTCTATACGGCGGTCTCCGCATGCGCAAACGTGGCGTCACGCCGCGGCCGCCACCTAAAAAAGGCGGTGGACAACGACGGCGACATCGAAGCTGTCGTGTTGTCGGCGATGTCCTGCGGCATCATCACACACCAGCGATTGTCCACGACGCAGTCGCCAACGCTCTTCCCTGCTACGACACCAAAGAGCATGTCTGGGGTGTGGTGGACACCGATGGAGGCGACGTGGGTGGCATGGACATGCGCGGTGAAAAGCCGATCATTCAGCACGTGTTTCATTCCGCCGTGCTCATGCACGAAAAGGTCTGGTGCTTTGGTGGCTGTCGTCTGACAGCGACAAGGCATGGCGATGGGAATGGGCCAGGTGCTGCGCAGGCCATGTTTCAAGAGGCACATGCATGCCAAGAGCACCTTTCGAACACCTTAACATGCCTCGACCTTCCGACACGCCAGTGGCGTACAGTGGAACCGGTGGTGCAGATGGCAAGCCGGGCGATGCGTCCCGACCAAACTCGCGCCCCGTTTGTTGCTGTGAAGGCACCACTTGTCTCTTCACCGCCTCCTCTGGCGTGCCACACAGCGGTGGGGTGGAGCAATCAAATGTTTGTTTTTGGCGGTCTAGAGGAAGTGACAGAGGGAGATGCAGCTACACTGAAGCCATCCAATTCGCTCTACGTGTTTCACACGATTCAGCTTTCTTGGTGGCTGCTCTCCCCGCCATCTGCCGCGAGTGCCGATGATGGCGGGCGCAGCAATGGCAAGGATGACGAGGGGTGGTGTAGAAATTGGCCCTCCGCGCGATACGGGCATGCTGCCGCCATTGTGCCTGAAAATCCGCACGGCGCCTTTCTCGTCCTGGGGGGCGCCACACGCCTTGCGGCGAATGCGAAGAGCAGCAGGGAGACGACGCTCCGTTGTGCGTGGGATGACCTTTTGTGGGTGTACTACGCAGCACTCGGCTACTGGCAGAGAGTCGATGTCCCGTCGTGTGTTCCACTCACCCGACGAGTGTTTTCCTCTCTACAGATTGTGCGGGCAACGGGAAAGCCGTGGGTCTCGTACGTCGCAGTTGTCGCCGGTGGGTACGATGCTTTGTGTCTGGAGCAGCTGCAGCATGCAGAGGAGGAGGAAAATGCCAACACTGACAGCGGTGCGGTGCTTGCCATCGATGGTAGGGCTGATGCCAGTAGAGAGCAGGATGCTGCAGGCGCCGCGGCACTGTCTGAGACAATGCAACGTGTGCTTGCCACCATCCTCGCCTCCCCGCAGTGGGGGACCGCGTGGGTCTCACTGGAGGAGCGGGGTTGTTGGCATGTGTCGTCACAGAATCGAAGGTGAGAAGTGAAGCGGACAACCAATGAGGAGGAGGTTCACGAGCGCCTTTCATCTCTGTATGCCCACATACACACCTACATGCATGTAGCTGCATACATTGTTTGTTGTCTCCCGTCTTCCTCTGCGCTCTGACGATTCAAGCGGTGCAGGACTTGAACGATGGCAGGACGAGGCAGGGAACAACGCGATGGACGACCGTGCAGCTTTGCTGCATCTTGCAATGATCCATCGTTGATAGACGAATCAACGTGAACTGGCGACTCGTTCATAAGATTGCTAATATTGCACGCATGCAGCTGACATTGTCTGCCTTCTGTGCGTTGAGGCGCCGTACCCTTGATGGATACTTTTTTTTTTCTTCTTGTCTCTCTGTGGGGTCTCTAGTAGTGGAGGCCAACGAAACACAGGAGTCGTGGTAGGTAGTCACTGCAGGAAGGGGTGCCCTTTTTTATTGCTTGGCTGCTGTGCGCTGCTTAGTTTGCTCTCAAATGCCTTGGGGCAGGCGTTGCAGCACACCGCTGCTCCTTTGCTTCCTGCTCAGTGTCTGGGTTGCGCTGCTGCTCAACCCGCGGCAGGCAGCGGCAGCGAAGCCAACCCCCGGCGCGGGCGAGGAGGACTTCTACGAGGTCCTTGGCCTAGGCAAGGAGCGCGATGACGCGAGCGAGCGGGATATTAAGTCTTCGTGGCGCAAGCTTTCGAAAAAGCACCACCCTGACCACGCGGGGGAGTCGCAGCGGGAGGTGTACCAGCGGATTCAACGCGCCTACGAGGTGCTCGGGGATCGCAAGAAGCGGAAGATCTACGACATCCTTGGCCTTGATGGGGTCAAAAAGTTTGAGCAGCCGCAAGACCAGCAGCAACAGCACATGCATCCTTTTTTTTCCTTCTTTGGTGGGGGCCAGCAGAATCACCAGGCGGACCGCGGCAAGAATGAGGAGCTCCTGCTGCAGGTGCCGCTTGAGGATGTCTACAGCGGGGCGGCGCATACAGTGAAGCTCGCCAAGAGTAAAATATGCCGCGCCTGTCGCGGAACTGGGGCCCGAAGCAAAGAGCACCTCCTGCGCTGCCCGCACTGCAACGGGGAGGGTCGTATCTTGCGCCGTGTGCAGTTTGTCCCAGGATTTGTGCAGCAGATGGAACATCCATGTCCTCATTGCAGCGGTGGCGGGGTGATCATATCGGAAAAGTGTACTACGTGTAAAGGTGTGAAGACGGTGCGAAGCACCTCCGCTATTAGCATCGACATTGAACGGGGCACACCAGACGGCCACGTCCTCACATATGAGCTTGAGGCGGATCAGCAGCCAAATCAGGTCCCTGGCGACGTTGTCTTCACTGTTGTTACTGCCTCCCACCCCCGCTTTATCCGTAGCGACAATGACCTCACAGTAACTGTGGTACTCACGCTGAAGGAGGCGTTGCTTGGTTTCAGCAAGAGATTAACGCACCTCGATGGCCACTTGGTTGAGCTGAAGGAGTCGGGCATCACGCAACACGGGGAACGGCGCAAGATTGCTGGCGAAGGCATGCCGAAGCACCATGTGCCGTCAGAGCGGGGCGACCTCCACGTCATTTATGAGGTGGGGCTGCCAAGTCTGCTGACAGCAGCGCAGGAGGAGGCGCTTCGGCGGGCTTTTGGCTAACGGCCAGAGCCGCGATGGGGTGAGGGAAGGGAAGGAAACGGGAAAAAAAGATGTGGTGAGCGGGGCATGCGTTGAAAGCGGGAGGTGCATTTGTGTGGATGTGCGTGAGTGTGATATAATTGTTTATTGTGCGGCATTGTTTTGCTGGTGTTTATTCTTCGCTGCGCCTGCACCCGGTCTGTGAGGTGTCTAGCGCGCGTGATCCGGGAAAAACGCGGCAGCAGTGGAAACAGTGAGGAAGATTGCGGGGTCACCGCCGTCACTACCGTCACGGTCGCCTCGAGAAGAAGCCAAAAAAGAAAAAAAAGGTGGATGGGTGGGTGTAACGCCCCCCACTTCCCCACTCACTCTCGGAGAAGGATAACAGAAACAAAAACAAAAAAAAACGAAGAGACACTGAATCCAAGCGGTATATTTCAACATGAATGGGCGACGCAAGAACGCATAAGGGTGAAAGATGAGTGTAGGACTTTTATCACCATGTGTGTGCACGCGGTGTTGACGGCCGATGGCTGTTGTTTTCCCGTTTTATGCTGCATCCTCTCTTTTTGTCTCTCGCACATTCTCTTTCCCTTTATCTGCGTGCGGCGCCAGCGCCCAGTTCAGATTAGATCCGCCGCCCAGCGCAAGCGGCAGGCAGGCAACCTTCAGAGGAGGGATTGACTGAAGGAGGAGAAGGGGACGCACATACGTCTTCGCGTGTGTGCGTGTGCCCGCCATCGTCTCAATATATTACACAGAAAGACACATATTGCAGTTAGGTTTCTTCCACCCGCACCATAATTGCAGAGACAGAGAGGGCAAGCGGAGTGGAGGAAAGAGATGACGTCGGCGGCGCCGCTTTTTGCCATCACCGGACGTGGAAATGATGTGAAACGCGCACGGGACCTGATCACCTCCATTGGCGGTGCTCTCACAATGAAGGAGCAGGTAGCTGACTACCTCGTCGTCGTGAAGGGGGCAGGCAGACGCAAGGTGGAGTACTACTACCACCAAAACCATCAGCACGACAAAAGAGACGGTGATGGCTGTAGTATAAGAGGCGAACACCCGCCGAGGGGTCGCCTTTTGCTGCTGGACATGCTAGAGCACTGGAGCACGCATGGAAGACTGCCGCAGCGTGACGTTAGCGTGGCAGAGCTAGAGGAGATGCATTTGTTCAGCGCTGCTGGGGCGGAGCGCGGCCAACGCTCCTACGACGTCCCTGAAGGGTTTTTGAAGCGCCCTCGCGTGATGTCGGATCCCAGCGGCAACACGGTGGATGAGTCAGACAACGCGGTACTTTTATCCATGAAACGCGGGGTAGCACCGCATTTAGTGGCCATGCCACCACCACCACCACCACCACCACCACCAGCGGCGGCATCCTCATCATTCCGGCCGCAAAACTTTCCCTCCACCATGCCTCTGGCGGGGCCCGTTGTCTTTAGGATGCCGCCGCTGCAAAAGGACGCACAACGTCGTGGGCTGCTGCTTGACGACGACAGCCCACCACTGAAAGCTGCAGGAGCCACGACCTTCGACTCGTCAAGCAACAACGGCGTGGTGAACCCCATGCGGGTCCCATTTCAGCGGCAGCCCAAACCGGACTGGGATACATATTTTTCCGACCTGCCGGGCGTCAGCGGCAGCGTCAGCAGCAGCGCCGGGCTTCATCGCAGCGAGAGTGACAGTCATCGTGCCACCACCACCAGAAGCAACATGTACAAAAAGACGGGGAATACAACACACAGCAGTCGTAGCCTACACGTGGACCCACACCACCCGGATGCCTCCGCCACCGCCACTGCCGCGCTCTCAAACTCCGCGTGCGTTGCAAACGGTCGCACTCCGTCTGCATCAAAAGCGACGGTGGCGGAAGCCGCAAACGTACTGAACATCACAAGGCATAAAAAGAACAGCATTGAGATGACGTTTGACTTTGCGAAAAACGGGTCCCGAGGCCCTGCAACGGTGCCACGCTGTGCCAACGGTGGTGACGAAGTGGCCTCGCATGAGCTGAGTGTGAAGAAGGGGAGTGAAGAGAAGGTGCTGACAGATGTAGGGATGTGTGAGCCGCCGCCACCGCTGCCGAAGCAGCAGCCTGTGAACCGGCAACAGATACAACGCGAACGTTCCCAGCCCAGTTGCCGCGCTCGCGACGCCGCGAGTGGCAAGCCTAGAGAGACTAGATCTGTGGACCTCCCCATCTCGCGGCAGCCCAAAGTAAACCGTGACGAGGCAGCGTGCAGGAGGACCGGGGGGAGTGGGGCGCTTGCCAGCGATGGGACGTTTGGCATCCCACCGCCGCTGCCTTCTCGCCCACGTGAGTCAGGTGGGATGCGCTCCACTACCGGAGCGGCAAAAACGATGCTGGGCCCAGCGGGGCGCAAGTCAGTTTCAGCGGCATCTCGTTTTGTTAGGCCGTCGGCAATGTCGACATTTTTCAATACCTCCACCGCAGCCAGTGCGGTTGCGACGACGACGACGACGAATAGTAAACACACGAGCCGCACGGTCCATTCCAACCCTCTTCTGCAACGCGTTCGGCAAAGTGCTTACTGTAAGGGCATTTCCGAAGAGAACTGTGTGACGGTGCTGCAGCAGGTTGTGGATCGCGCGTGCCCTGTAAGCTTTAGCGGCATAGCTGGTCTTGAGGTGTGCAAGCGCATTTTGTACGAGGCCATCATTCTTCCTGCGAAGTGTCCGCAGCTTTTTACCGGGCTGCGACGACCGTGTTCAGGGTTGCTGCTTTTCGGTCCTCCCGGAAACGGCAAGACACTTCTTGCCAGCGCCGTGGCGAAGGAGTGTGATACAATCTTTTTTAGCATCTCCGCCGCGGCCATCACCAGCAAGTGGGTTGGGGAGGGTGAAAAGATGGTGCGGGCGCTTTTCGCCGTCGCACGGGCCCTTGCCCCCAGCACCATTTTTGTAGACGAAATTGACGCACTGCTGCAGGCACGCGGAAGCGCCCACGAGGGAGAGGGTTCCCGCCGCATCAAGACGGAATTCCTTGTGCAGATGGATGGCGCCGGGAACGACAACAGTGAGGCGCGCGTGCTGGTTATGGGCGCAACGAACCGTCCATTTGACCTGGACGAGGCGATTATCCGGCGATTTCCAAAGCGCGTGTTTGTGCCGCTGCCGGATGCCCCTGCGCGTGCACAGATCCTTCAGTCGCTGCTTGACACGGAAGAGACACCCAACGGTTTCACTCCGGCGATATGGCAGCGCATCGTCGCCGTGACCGAGGGGTACAGTGGGCATGATTTGCGGCAGCTCTGTGAAGAGGTGGCGATGGTTCCTGTGCGTGAACTTCTTGCGGAGAAGCTGCGCAGCGGGGAGGAGCTGACCACGCAGGCGTACCATCACAACCTGCTGCGGCCCTTAACGTTGCAAGACGTGGAGACCTGCGTGAAGGCACGTCACCCCAGCTGTTGCCCTAAACAGTTAAAAGCTCTGAATGAGTGGAGTGACACCTACGGCTCCAGGTAGGCGAAACAACGAAAGGAGAAAGGAGAGGAACGACATCAACAGCAGCAGCAAATACATGGCGTTTTGTGGCGGGAGGAAACTAAAGGTATATTCTTTTTACACGTCTTTATCTTTGCCTTGTGACTTCTCAATACGTACGTAAATACACGCATATATACATATATTTCTTTTTCCTTTTCACTTTTGCTCTCTTTTGCGCTTATGCATCTAGTTGCTTGAGTGGCGGTGGGGTTGTGTGTCTTTTAACTCCTCCTCTGCGCAATCTGGACCGATAGACGAAGAATTGCGGCTTTGCTGGATCCGTTTTTGTAAACTCCCTACTTGTCACCTCAGCCTCTCTACATATCTTTCTATTTCTTTTCTCCTCTGCCAATGCTTGTATTCTAGGCCAGATGAGACGAAGCGCACAACAGTTCTTGTTGTTGTTTTTTGTTGTTTCAATGGCGCAGTGCGTGCCAATCAAACGGGGAAGAGTGTGAGAGTTGTGTGGGGAGGAATTCTAGTTTGATCCAGTGAATACACGCCTCAACCACGTGATCGATGCCGATAAGGCCACGCCACACATACACACACTCACAGACACGCATTTTTTTTTTTTTTCTGGAGGCTTGTGGAAGGAAGGTGAACGGTGAGGGCTTGTATACTGCTTTATCAACGCAACGTGGAGTACTGTGGTGCTTACCCTGTGCCCTCCGCATTTCCTTCGGGGGATTACGGATAAATCGTGATCTCTGCCTTGGGGCGGTGGAAAGAGTGTCATGCTGTCGCCCTTCCACCATCCCCGTTGGGCCTGCCTTGCTGCGGGGGGTGTTTTTGGGCTGTTGTGGAGGAGAAGGAAGCCAAAAGGAGCCGCCTATTCGTAAGTCACATGCGGGGCGTACGGTATGAGCTGTCTGTAGGCAATTTGTATGCTTGTTTTGCAGCCCCCACCGCCATTGATGTGCGGCTCAGCGTGGCTGGATGTTAGTGCTGCTCTAGTTTTGTTTCTTTGCTTCTTTTTTCTCTGTTTGACCCCCCCCCCCCGGAAAGATTTGGGTGAAGCTCTAAACACCAACAACAAAAACGTGCCCCTTTACGTGACCACTACAACACTTTTGTTGTGACAGACGACGACAGCCGCAACAAAATCAAAGGAGGAATGATGCTATCTGACAGCACGGACTCTTCCCTAGTGAAGTGTTTGACGCCTCTAGCGTCAAAATGCACTGTCGTCTTTCAGTCTAACGGGGCCCCTGCCACATTTCAGCGCTTCCCGTCGGCTGAGGAGCTGAGGCTCTTTCTTCAGAAAGATGTGTTGATTGCGGAGCAGGGATGCGTGTGGGTGGACATGCAGGGGTGCACTGAGGAACACAACCGCATGGTCCTCCAGCTGCTCTTCCCGCACATGGAGCCATGTCAGATGGAAGGGGTGCTCAGCCCTGACACGTATGACGCAGTGGAACTGCAGCCGGTGAAAGGGGAGTACCTCATTGGCGGCATCGCGTGTGCATGTGGTCAGCGACGATGTGCACCTGACATGGATGATGAGGAGAATACGACCGTCTGCTCCTTTGCCTGCAACAACAATATTTTGCTGACGATGCATGCAGTCCCGTTTCTCGGTCTTGCGGAAGCGCTGCACCAAGTGAGGATGGGGGCTGGCTGTGTCAGTCAGGAATCACTGCCTGAGTTTCGTGAGTTGCAGGCACCCGACATTGCCACCATGAGGGCTTCAGCGGTACTCTGCGTGCTGGTGTGCTTTACGTGCGAGACGTACCTCCCCAACCCCACTGGGCTAATCAGTGAGGTGGACTGCATTGACGAGATGGTGATGCTTGTTGCGCCCGGCAGGAGTGACCAGCCGGATCTCCTGCGCCGCATTTCGATGCTGCGCCGCCGCATGTCGGCGGAGAATGCGCGGCTGTACCTGAAGGAGAAGCTGCTGCAGGAGTTGATGGGCCCCACCATGCGCACGACGTTTGTCTCACATGACCCCTGTGTGATGCAGGCGTACCGAGAGGTGTTTGCGGAGCTCTCGCAGGTGCTGGAGCGCATGGAGGTGGCGCGTGACTCGTTGAACCATGTGAATC